TATGGTAATGAAGCAACCTTATTGCCAGATATATGTGATGTTTTTTTAGAAGCAAGAAGAAACATAAACTTATTGCCACGGCAAAAAATCATTGCTGACCAATGTGAAATAATAATGAGAGCATTTTCCAAGGTTGGTATTATCGCCTTAATAGATGAAAAAACTGGCTACCAACATGAAAGGGAAAGATTTGAATTAAACAAAATATTTAGACTGCTCGTTTTAAAAGATAGATTATTTTCAAAATGAAAGGAAATGTTCCCACTAGGTTATTATAAGGATGTATTTGGAGTTTATGATGTATCTTTTACTCCCGAAAACATAAGGAGAAAACCACGATTTATTGGTTGACTAACTAATGAACTAGTTTATAAAAACTTACCAAAAGGTTCATTTGTGTTAAAAGAGATAAAATCAAGAACTCCAAAAACCAAAGGAGGGCATTATAAAAAAAGGTTTCACCAATCTTTAACTCCCCTAGGAAAAAAGGCTGTGGAAGAGATAATTAATACAGTAAGAACATTGGCTTGGGTTTCCGGAAAAGATAGAAATAAATTTCGGAGATTAGTAAAGGAAAGGCTTCAACTTGAAAGGGAATTGCCCTATATAGATGTAGAAGCCATGGATGATAGTAAAAAAGAAACGGATTTTGATAAGGTATTAAAAACTGCTATAAATACACCACCACTAAAACTGAAAGACCTCAAAGAAAAGTTGAAGAAAGCAAATGATAATAAGTAGGCTTATTGGCTTGGTGTAAAATTATATATTAATCCCAAAAAAAAAAAAAAAAAACAAGTAGTCTTGCCAATAATCAATCATGTTTAGTAAATGTTATCGTTGTCAAGAAATACTTTGGGGAGCCTCAGTTAAGGACATCAAAGGCAATGACTACTGCCTTGATTGTTCAAAATGTTCCCAATGCCACTTAAAACTTACCGGCAAGTATCATGTTGGTCTCAAAGGAGGTTTTTGGTGTAGTGATTGTGTCAAAAATCATCGCATTAAAGAAGTAGCAACCGCCCAACAAGAAATAAAGAAATTAGCCCAAGAAAGAGAAGAATTGCAAAAACAATTAGATGAGTTAAATAATCCCGCTTCTCATTGTGAAATTTGTTCTAAAAAAATAAAGGGTGGTGATACTTATTATGCTACTTCCCAAGAACCAGATAAAAAAACTTGCCCTACTTGTTATCAAGACCAAATAGATAAAAGGTTAGCCGAAACAAAAAGGAAGAAAAAAGAATTAGAGAGAGAAAATGAAGAAGTTAACGATATAATGGAGCAAGCCGAACAAGCCAACTTAGCAGGAAAAGTTTTTGTTCTTTCCGAGCGAGGAAAAAAGTTATTAGGATCCAAGGGAGTAAAAATTGTTGAAGATGGTAATAATTTAGTGAGAAAACAACAAAATCAAGATAGTCAGAATAATTATCCTACTTCTCACGATAATCAAAGATTTAATGATAATAGTAAAAAAGATCAAGGATTGGAATATTTGACCCCTCTTCTGGTCGGAGGCGGAATAATTATTATAATAATTTGTTTGATTAAAAGTGGCAAAAGCAAGCAACAAGCTTTTAGTTCTACTAAAAACAGAAAAAATAAAAAATAGAATATGACATGAGGATATTGATATTGTTCTTATTGTAGGGAAAGCACAAAAGGCAAAGGCGATCATTGAAGTTATGATGGAGGTAGCATTACACAAACTTGCTCCAAACCCGAATGCCAAGCATTAGAAAAAGAACAAAAAGAGACAAAAAGAAAAAACCAAGAAAATATTAATGACATTCATGATGAATATAACAAAGGTAAGAAAGAACTAGATGACTTGGAAGAACAGTTGAAAAAGAACATTAATCAAAAACTTAATGATGATGCTAAAAAAATATCACCAGTAGTGATGTAGTTATTTACTACTTGACTAGGGTTAACTTCAAGTAATTTGATATCTCTTTTCATTTCACTAATAGATTTTTCAATATTAGTTATTTGTTGAGGTAGATTTTGTTTTTCTTTATTTTGTCTTTCTAAGGTTAATTCGTGATGATACAACTCTTCAAATTTATTAAGAATGATTTCTACTGTTCTAGTGAACTTTTTATTTTCTAATTTATAATAAAGACTGTCATACTGTTTACGAAGTTCAGTTATATTAGATGCTTCTAGTCGTTTGGCTCAAAAGTATTCTTTATGAACTGAAATTAGTTTTTGGAGCATTTGTTCTTGTTCTTCGGTAAAAAGTAAATAATCTTTAACTATTTTTTCTTTTTGTTCTTTAACTAACCTTTCACTTTCAGCAGTTAAGGTTTCTAAATCAACTATTCTTTTAGTTAACCTTGCTTTTTCTGCTTCTAAGAGTTTTAATTGTTCTCGTAATTGTTCAGTGGTGATTTTGCCTTGGTTAGTTTCTTTTCATCTTTGGTGGAGAACTGCTTTATTTGGGTTTATTTCTCAAAACCATTTTTGTTTTTTAAGTTCTTTTTGGTATTCTTCTTTTAATTCAGATAAGTTTAAGTTTAAGTTTTGGTTAGGGGCATGGTTAGTTAGTTTTAGGTATTCAATGAAGAGATAATCTTTAAGGTTTAGACCGAGATTAGTTCATTCAAGAGCTTGTTTGAGGTTAAAACCGAGTTCTTTTCAGTTTTTTCTTTCAGTAAACAAATCTAATTGTTTTTTAATCTCTGCTAATTGACAGTTAGGTCTTAGTTTGGTGTCATAATCAAACTTTTCTAAACTATCTGGTAAATATTCTCAACCACTAGTTAGGTCAGTATTTTTAATATCTAATCATCCTAACTCATTCAAATCTTTTAATGGTTCTAAACTTCCTTGAAAACGATTATAAATACCTTGGTTGATTTTGTTTTTATCTGAATTACCAATTAATAACCATTCTAAATTCCTCATCTGACTAAAAATAGTTAAGTCAGCAGTAGCAAGATTATTGTTGTGTATTCATAAACTAGTTATTTTTTCTAGATTAGAGGGAAGTCTAGGATAGACTATTTGAGTGAGGTAATTATCAGAAAAATTAAGTAAATTTAACTGTTTGCAATTACTCAAATTAAGATTAGTGAGTTGGTTATTAGAGCATTTAATTCTCCATAATTTCTTACAATTATTTAAATTTAGTTTAGTGAGGCAATTATTATAGAGATATAATTTCTCTAAATTCGGAAAATCAGTTAAGTCTAAATTTCCTTCTAAGCCTTTGTCAACTATATATAACTTTGTTATTTCTGCTTTGGCTTGTTCAGTTGGATATTTTTGTTGGAGATAAGTTTCAACTAGTTGACAAGGGATTATTTTGGTTTTTGTTTCATCTCAATCATAAAAACCTCCTTTTAGCTCAAATTTACTACTATCAACTGAGGTAGAAATAAATATTCATTCTAAATTCTTATACTCTGAACAATCCAGCACTCCTGTTAATTGTTGGTTGAGGTAGATACTTTTTGTTCACTTATCAGGATAATTTTGTTCTAGTCAGTCTTGGGTTTGCATAAAGTTATTTTAGATTCAAACGCATCTTTAAATTTTTGACAAGAATCTTTAGTTCTTTTATTACTCTCATTAGATAAAAAATAATAACTAGTAAAATAACCATTCCACCCAAAGAAATAGCGTGCAAAACACAACTTCAACAAACGCCACCCTTTGCCTGATAAACAACAACTGGTTTTTTATTAATGTTACTAGATTTAATGATCTCTAAAGTAGAGTTAACCAAAATTACTTCTAATTTTTTTTCTAAATGATATTCAAGGGTTTCTAATTTGTTACAATTTTTTATTGTTATTTTTATTAAATCTGGTAAGTTTTTAACACAAATTTTGTAATTTTTCTTTAGCTTCTCTTTGGAGTTGACGAATAGCAAAATTATTATTACCCTGAGTAATTTCAATTTGGGTATCAAGTAAAGTTTCTAAAGCAAGTATTAAATTAACACCTATTTTTTCTTTAGTTTGCTGAATTAATTGGGTTAGTTCATCGTTTTTTGTTTGAGAATTTAAACCTTGCACTGGTAAAATAGGTAATTCTTTATTTTGAGAAGTTGAAGCGATTACTTCACTAAAATCTTTTTCATTTTGGTTATTTGTTACTTCTTGTTCCGTGTTACCAGAGACAAGGAGAGGTTTATTTTTTCTTTT